ACTCTCCCCTTGTGAACAAATATTTATTGGAGCAACGAGGAGTACTAAGAGAAAGGCCAGTTTTGTGAAGGAAAAATATGTAAAGAATTTGACCTTTGCAAATGTTTGCATTATGGCAGAGAGAAAAAATTCTAACAATTTTTTATCATCCTATAAAGTGTACACTATGTCCTCAAGTAATTTTGATTCCTCTTGTACCAATTCAAATTTCAGGACTCCTACTGCTTCACTGTTTCCTATATTACAACATGTGATTTCACATTGTAGAAATCCATCTTACATGTTTCCTGACATGGGTAAATGAAATGCATTATATAATACACAGGGACCTAACAGTTATCTAAAGTATGTGTGATGAATGTTGGGATGAAGGGTGTAAATTCTTTGTTCTGTTAAATTGGGAAGGAGCAGTGTCGCAAAATTTTTTTGCAGTGACTGCCACCCAGTTTTTTGCTTTTCCATTTTGGTTAGTGGCCCACATTAGGGCTGAAAGGTAAATACTCGGGTTTCCCCAAGTGATGAAAATACACATTAACTAAATTAGACATAATGTGGATGCTGTCAAATGGAACGGTTCAGCTTGAGGGTAGTGGGCATTCATTGGTTAAAAAATTGGCTTGTATCACCCAAATATGTAACAGAGAGACTTTTACGTAAAGGTGAGACTTTACTTATATCACAAGCTTTATTTAATTTACTGCTATTCCCTTATTTATAAAGCACCAATTCACAACACATGTCATCTCAAGGCGCTTTGCAGAGACAAATCATCAGATCATACAGTTAAACTGATTCAAGTCTTCTAAGGAAAACCAGTTGATTGCATCTATTCATTGACTCAAAGGCAATCCCTTACACCAAGCATGCTTGTAGCTACAGTGGGGAGAAAAAACTCCCTTTTAATAGGACGAAACGTCCAGCAGAACCAGGCTCAGTGTGGGGGGCCATCTGCCGAGGCCGACTGGGGTTCAAGGAGACAAAAGCAGACGATCTATCCTTCTAGGCCATTTACCATTCAAGTCAATATACAATCAAAACGCTGTAATTGCAATCTGGATTAGCTGATCATGAAGCAGCCTGTGCTGATATATCAGATGAGTAGAAAGATGCCGGAACTATGTGTACCTTAGCAGCATATCGTATTGCAACACTGACATACAAGAAAGATCAGAGATAGTGTAATGTGGTTATGAAGGTGCTGTCAGCATTGCACAGTATAACGTTGCATAATATCGGATAGTGAGTCATCCCAGACTTAAGGTAAAATGTGGAGAAGCCACAAAGCAATCTCTCATGTTATTCTGCTGTGAATTATGCTAGGGTTGAGCATTAACTTTATATTTAAATTTTGCTACTTACTTCTGAAGTTCATTTACTTTAAGCCCTGACAGAAACCAACAGATTTCCTTCAAAAGCTTTTAAGGATGCATATGTTTGGTGTTTTTTTCCTGTCCATAGCCTTAAGAAAAATATCAGCATATTGTTACTATTATCCTGCCCCTTTTGGGGGCTGCTATGGTTTTCCAAGCCATTGCCATATGTTTTTCTCCTATATGTTAATAACAAAATTAGTCTGTGTATTTATTCTGCCATCTTCCTCTCTCTAATTTGGAAAGAATGTTTCCCCTACCAAACAGAAACCATGATTTTTTTTTTTTTTTTTTTATCAATATTGAGCCCATGAGCGACAGAAACTATGTTTTCCCATCTGCTGAGGACATCTGTGTTTTGAGATTGTTTTTAAACTTTTAATTAATTATAACATCTGTAATATTTTTAGATTCTATTGTTGTCTTATGGACCATCTGTCTCTGTCAGGCCACTCAAACGCTTTGTGAGTGTAATGTGAAAACAACCCATAAAAATATCGACTAGCAGGCAGATACAATCTTACACTGGTTTATCAATTAGTTCAAACTGATATCTCAGTGCTTACTCCAACCAGTTCATATATTGAGTCTGTATGTGACTGAAAAGTCTTTAAAAGAGGCATTCCATCCTTTGAACAGCAGCCAAAAGAGGATGCAACAGAGTGACACTTTATGCAAGCAAAGAGATAAATGCACCTTGCAAATTCCTCAACATGTCTCTCTTTAATCTCCTCAAATCTAAATATAACTTAAAAAGCACTGCATTTATATTAGGCTGTTGCAAGTAAGAGTATGTGATACACTAAATTCTACGAAAGTGGCTGACATCAAAGTTTTTTTGTGTATAACCCAATATTATTTGTATTTTTCAAACATCACCTTTTGAAATAAATAGTTCCTGTCTAATACAGCACTTAACTTCTCTCTCAGCGAACAGGATATCAGCTATTCAGATAGTCATTTTTACTGAGTCAAGTGATGAAGAATTGCTTGCTGTTATTAAGCCCCATATTAAATCCAACTACTACTTTGTCCTACAGGCAGCACTCTGCAAATCCATCAAGCTCAGTAGCTACCATAATGCTGTGTTTAACTTAAATGTACACCTCATTTTGCAAATGTATTAGACCAATCTGGGTCTTCTTTTATCACATTATTCTCCTTTTAACTGGTGTGTTTTCAAAATCTGTAAACTTCCTCCTTTTTCAGAGACCTGGCTTAGAAGCCTGTAGCTCTTTTCTTTATAAAGAAATCAGAGCACCGTAGTGGACCCATCTGTAAAACTTCTTTGCAGATCTCACCACTGTCATTGGTGTAATCTGGCCTGCCCAGCCAGACTAATTTATGCCGTGTATAGGCATATTGGTCTGAAAAGGAGCAGGTATAACCGAATTTCAAATGCAGGACTAAAAGAGTCACTGAAAACAGTTGAAAACCAATAAGATAGTAAAGGATATTATTTAAAACATCATTCTGAAAGCCTCTTCCAGTTGTTGAAATGTTAGAATATAAACAGCTTTCTCTGAGCATAATAAAACATTGCTTCATGTAATCTTGACCATTATGGTTACTGGGAAGCACTATTGCATTTTGGGCCCACCTCCTGCACTGTGATTGGTCTGGTCTGTTTTGGACCAGAGAGCATTGAGCCTTACCAGACTGACTTATGTCCTGTGTAAGTTATTCTGGTCTACCAGGCTGGGTATAACCCAGGACAATTGAACTCAGAGACAATGCCAGCTGACCCATGGTGTGGTAGAACCACATGAGGCTTGAACTGCTCAAGACAGAACAACTGCCCCTGGCAACAACAGTATCTCTGCAGAAACTCAACATATACAACTTCTCACAGGGTGCTGCTCATCCTCTACATTACCATTATTCAGTTTATTTTTTGCATATCTACAACTATTTGGTTTTGCCAGACTGTAACAAACATGTAGATCTACAGAAATGACGATTAGGGCTGAATTATACATGTCTTGGGTAAGGAAAAAGGGCAGTGGGCTTCTTTTTAGACTGGCACATCCTGAAAACAAACTGTTCAGCCTTTTACCTTCTGGTCAGTCCAACAGGATGCTATTTGCAAGAAAGAGGTTCCACAAAGACATTTTCTTGCCCGAGGCTGTCTGCTGATTAGCACCTTCAATGCCTTACTGTCTAAGCGTCTAGCTGCTCTGCCATAAGCAAATAAAATTGCACAACTAGTCTTTTTTTTCTTCCATAGATAGGTAGGTAGACAGACAGACAGACATATACTTGAATCTAGATGAACATACATGCATGTGCGTTTATTTTTATGCCTTTTTTCATTTCCTCTTAATTTGAAATATCTATGCCTAGTGTCTGAGCACTAAATCCTAGCCAATATAGCAGATTCTGATTTTCTTTTCTTTTTTTTTGATGATAAAACAGCAGTGGGGCACAACATGTGGAATTTGTATCAGACAAAGTAACCTGAGTAAAGTGTTATTAGAAATTAAGAAATTTAACAAAAGTGAATTTAGCCTTAAGGTGACAAAATATTGTCTAGAGATTTTCCTGCAGGATTATGTGATAGATTACAGATTTTATGCAGCCAGTAAACATGGTAAGTTTCCCAGGTCCATAAGCAGCAAACAGCAGAAGTTATTACATCACTTTTTTTTTTCTCTATGTATAATCTTCCCTTTCTGGAATGCCATTTTTCTTTTATGACTTAACATTTTGTGATGCATACATTTCCTAAATGTTTTAAATTGTTCTCCCTTTTTTTTTTCAAATAACATTAGGCAACTGTGCATGATTCTTTAGTCTTTTCATAATATATTCCTTCTTATTAGTCGGATGTCTTTTAAAATAGATTTCAAGGTACTTTTTAGTTTAAAAGTTGCAGCATATTTGAGTTATTGTGATTTTTGCTGGGGCACCGAAAATGTGAGGATATGCATTCAGGAATGTGCCCTAGTAAAAATGGTATAACAAGACCTAGGCTGACAGATGTTCCGGATTTCTTTTATTTTTATTAAAGTAACAAGATATTTTATTGACTCCAGCAGAGAAAAAATATCTAAATTTCTCTGTCCACCATACCTCTTCCACACTTTGTCTAATAGACTTTCCTTTCTTTGGTTCACCACTATTTTGTTTAAACGAGTTTATGTAATCGAAAGAAAACTAAATGAATTGCCACTTACTTTAGCTGACAATGGGTGGATGAAGAGTCTAAACATGGAGAAAAGAGATTGAGAGAATGAGACGGAGCAGAGCCTAGATTGCAATCTGTTTTGTGTAGCCTGTTATTGTTACTGCTGAAATGCTTTTGGCCTGGAAGACAATTACTTTGGCAGCTACAGCAGGATTACAGTCATGCACACTTTAGTGTTAAAAATGTTAGTGTGAAAGAGTATTTTGTCTTGCGCATCCTTGAAAGAGGAATTAATGGTAATGTTTTTTTGTCCAGTCTGTCGCTTAGCTTTTATTTAATCCTTTTATTCCTCTAAATCATCTTTGACCCTCATCTCACTTTCTCCTATTTTCTATCAAATCTTGTCTTTTACATACCTAATCTCTGTACTCTGATTTTGTCCTCCCTCTTCTCCCTTTTTCACTCTCATACTCATAACTGCCGACTCTCACCACTCTTTTTAGGTCCCTGTCTGGACGAATTGTCGGAGGTGTGTGGTGGTTCTTCACTCTTATCATCATCTCCTCCTACACAGCCAACCTGGCTGCTTTCCTCACTGTGGAGCGGATGGTCTCACCTATAGAAAGTGCAGAAGACTTGGCTAAACAAACAGAGATAGCGTACGGGACACTGGATTCAGGCTCCACGAAGGAGTTCTTCAGGGTATGGACACAGTCTGCTGACTTTCTTTCGGATATTTTGCTTTTTATTTTTACTTTCTGCTTACTGATAATGGTCATTATTTACTGAGCTTATAGACCAGATAACCCAGAACCTGAATGCATGTAAGAGGCCTAAATGTTTAGTCAATGCTGGCCGCTGCCTAAGTTACCAGTAGTTAATAATATAGACCTGGGAATACACTTTTTTTTCTTAGGAAATTAGAAGTAATAAGATAAAATGATAAACCCAGAAACATGCAGAACATGGTGGTCTGTTTGTTTTTGATTTATTTTTTTTTTTTTCTGAAGCAATTTAACATGAAACTGAAAATCTGACTAAAGACATGCATTGCCCTTTTGAGTTTCTATGTTCTACATCTTAGGTATAAATTTATTTTATCCGTATATATTTTAAGGTATTTTTGAATTACTTTATTTTGATTATCAGATTAATAAAGACTTTTGCTTCATTTTTCTCCACTGGAAAGAATAATAATTGTTGAAGGTTTTTCCGCCATTTGTGAATGTGTGTTTCACATTCACAGAACCTTATACTTCCAAGAAGTTTCCCTGTAAGGTTGACTGTTGTTTTCCTCATTGTTTGCATTTATTCACTCTCCCACAGAGTCACACAGTTATTTACTTCCTAATTATCGTCAGATGAAGTTATATAGAGGGTAAGAAATTATATAGGGATAATGTTTTTCCGCAAGAGGCAAACAAAATTGATGATAAACGAAGTATCCCAGAATGACATTCACAATGCCTTTTGTCCCAGGGCATTTAACAAATGTGCTGCAGATGGCAGGCCCACCAACATTTCTAATAATAAAACACAAATGAGCATATTTTGAAGGACTTTTTTAAATACTGTTTTAGCTGACAAGCGAAAAACTCCCTCACATTATGCCCTTTGACCCCATTTTGCACCATTGCTTTTCTGTATGCTCTTGTGCATTTTTATGTATTTGCACTAGTGTTTGTGTTTGGAGATGGGGTGAGGAGTGGGGGGCTAGTGGCAGACAGTTTGTACTTCTCTGAGAGGCTCTCGCATCATCAACATAACGAGCAAGCTGAAATCTGTGAAGGGTGAAAAAGCAATTTAATCTCCCACAGCTGAGGGGGATTTGCAACTGCCATTAATTATCTTTGTGTGAGTATGTGTGTTCCTGTGTAGTATGAAAGAGTAAAAATGCATGTATGCACATTTGGCTAAATTGTATGCAGACAGTTGATATGTGTGTAGATGTTTAAGTAGCATTTTCTCCCATGCGGAATCCATCTGTCCCTTTGTGTATTTAGAATATGAGTGAATGGGAGGCCTGAAGGTGACTTGCAACAGCCATCTCCTTCTTCACAACCACACTCATTGTTAAAGATTTTAGAAAAGCCATGGTATTTTGTCACACATCTATCCCTCTGGGGCTAGACAGTGTTATGTACGTGCACAGAAACAGCAACGTTACTGTGTTTTCCATGTCCCGGACATTGCACAGACAGATGAATGAAGGGGCTGCAGAGGATGACGAGAATTTATGAGAGCTGTCCATGGCCAGGGTGAAAAATAAAGGCAAAGGTTTGAGAGAAAGGCAGGTTATAAGAGAGAGTGGAGGGGAATATTGGTCCCCTCAAATGTGAATAGCATTATTATGGGATAGGTGTCCGTCACGCTACATCAGTAACCTGACACACACACACACCACTCTCTGGTGCCGATTGCACTTCCTCAGGGCCAGGCTTGTTACTTGCAAAGCAACAATAGTAAGATTTAAATACCAGTAGAAAAAGAGAGCAAGAAGAAGTTGAATGCTCGTGGAGGATGCTTGTTATTTCCACTCATGAGTACACACAATTCACAGACTGATATGAGTTCTCCCAAACACATTCACACTGCCGAAGCAACTGGCTTATGTGGACAAATACAATAGTGTTAATCTAATATTGATATCATCCAACTATTTGTGTTAGGCTGTATGACATATAAAACTGCAGCAATACAATGCATGTATCAGAAACATATTTAACATTTAACCATTGCGAATGTCATTTAAAAAAATCAGTGCTGTGATATTTTCTAAGTGTCATTTTTGTCATTTCATTGAAAAGCTTTTAATGAATTTAGTAGCAGCTGTAACCCTATTCCTACTATACCCTATCATGAGGATGACCAGAATTTATGAGAGCTATCCATGGCTGATGTTAAGACATGAAAGATCCTAACCATGCACGGAGGGTACCACCCCAACTCCAGCACCCTGAGACTGTACACCAGCCGTAAGGAAGGAGGCCGAGGTCTAGTGAGAGTATGAGCAACTCTCCAGGATGAAAGATCCAAGATCCATAAATACATCAAGGACAAGGCTCCAACAGACAACATGCCCAGTGAATATCTCAGACAATGAAGAACAGAAGATGAGGTGCCAGAGACTCCGTCATGGGAGAATAAGCCCCTACACAGGATGTACTACCTAAGCATAATCGAAGTGGCAGATATCAGGAAATCCTACCTATGGCTAGACAAAGCTGGACTGAAGGACAGCACAGAGGCACTCATCATGTCTGCACAGGAGCAGGCCCTGAGCACCAGGGCAATAGAGGCCCAGATCTAACACACCAGACAAGACCCCAGTTGCAGACTGTGCAAAGAGGCCCCTGAGACAATCCAGCACATAACTGCAGGATGTAAGATGATGGCTGGGAAAGTTTACATGGAGCATCATAACCAAGTTGCTGGAATAGTATATAGGAACATCTGTGCAGAGTAAGGGCTGAAAACCCCAAGGTCAAAGTTGGAAACACCCCCAAAGGTGGTAGAGAATGATCAAGCCAAGATCCTGTGGGACTTCCAGGTACAGATGGACCAAATGGTAATGGCAAACCAACCGGACATTGTGATGGTAGACAAAAAGTAGAGGAAAGCCGTTGTGGTTGACATAGCAATACCAAGGGACTGTAACATCAGGAAAAAAAGAACATGAAAAATTAGAGAAATACCAGGGTCTTAGAGTAGAGCTGGAGAAAACCTGGAAGGTCAAGGCATCAGTGGTACCCGTGGTCATTGGGGGCACTCAGAGCAGTGACCCCCAAACTTGAAGAGTGGTTACAGCAGATCCCTGGAAATACTTTAGATATCTCAGTCCAGCACAGTGCAGTTCTAGGAACGGCAAAAATACTGCGCAGAACCCTTAAGCTGCCAGGCCTCTGGTAGAGGACCCGAGCCTGGAAGAAAAAGAGGGGAAGAGATCCATCCATCCACCCATCCATTATCTGACACGCGTGTCCCATTTGGGGTCGTGAGGGGTGCTGGTGCCTATCTCCAGCTGTCAATGGGCGAGAAGTGGGGTACACCCTGGTCAGGTCGCTAGTCCATCACAGGAGGGGAAGAGATACATGTATATATATATATATATATATATACATATATATATATATACATATATACATATGTATTTTTGTTTATTTATGGTATAGAACACAGATTTTTAAGCATGAAATAGGGTAAAAATGCGTAGGTGTATAATTTAATGTTAAATACAGTAAGGTGTATATGAAGATAACATAGTCATATAGCTGTGCAACATAGAAATGTTATCTATCTAAAAAATGCTAGCTGTAGTGAAATGACGCCCATGGGCTCACTTTAACAATGGTTATCGTTGCTAAGCATGGTGTGGTACAATGAGAAGTTTTAAAAAAACACCAAAGTGGTATATTTTAAACGTTATACCTCTGTGTTTGCATACAGCAGTGCTAACATTCTCAGTAATGGTTTTGCACCGTGTTAAAACGAACATTTACTCTGGTGTCGATTCTAAAAACTTAAGAAGAAAAAAAGAGACAGTTGGTACATGGAGCTGATTGGGGATTCTCTCTGCACAAACAACTTAATTGTCAGGACTCAGAAAGTTGGATCCAGGATTCAGGCAGACAGGCTGAAGTGAGAAAAAGCGTTTATTAATTGCTCAGTGTTCTGCATCACATCTGGAAGGACTACAGGGCTGGAATCTCTGTAGAGGGAGAAACACAGTAACTGACCACGTAACTCTAACAGGGAACGTTACCGAGTTTGTGTGTCAGTAACCTGGTTATTAAGTTCAGTCCGAGCCCAGAGGAAGGAATGGAATCCAGCCGAATGATTTTCTACAGCATTAGGCAGAAGCTGGCCAGAGAGTTCCAGGTGTTGAAGCCAAAGGTGCTGTAGAGCAGACCTATGTACAGAAGCCAAGTGACAAGGAAGAGCAGAAGAATCCAGAAAGAGAATCCAAAGGCTGTGTCGATGAGGAAGCAGAATTCCAGGTCAGATCAGAGATCAGAAGAGTTATCAAAGGGAAATCCAAGCCGGGGTCGGAAGACAAATCCAAGGTCGTTAGCAGGCAGAATCCAAAAGAAGTCTCTAGACAGGTCCGGCAAAAAAAAAAACAGAACAGGGGCAGGCAAACTCAGAATTCCAGGAGCAGAAAATAGTCAGGATCAGGTAATCAGAATAAACACGCTGGGGTATGCTAGTGATCTGGCACTGATGGCTGGGACAAAGCAGTTTAAATAAGAACTGGAACAGATGGATCTGATAATTGATCATGAAAACTGGGTGGAACTAGGGAGGTGCATGAAGTAAACCAATAAACCTGTCTGTGCAAAGATCATGATAACAGTTTTTTTGCTAACATTTTAGAAAAAAACTTACAATTAGTTAAAATTAGTTGTTAGGTCTTAATTATGAATAAATCGTTTTAAAACATAAATATTCTTTGTAGTCCTGGATGTGTTTTAGAGATTATGTCTATGCCATAGCATTAAGTCTTTCTTTCTTTGACAGTGTGTTTTATTTTTTTTTACACACCCATTAAAGTTGACCAGTGTATCAGTCACTGTTAAACAAAGAGGAAACCACGGCATTATATTACAACATCATGTTACTGCTGTAGATATGCAGTGTTTTCTAACCCACACAGCATTTTTCTGTTTAACAATGCAATATTGGTCTTATCTGATCAAAGTACCTTCTTCAAACCTCTTTACTGTTTCCCTCTACTTGACTTGAGCACTTTTTTTTTTTATTAAAATCTTTTTTTATTTATATTGTCTCATTATAACAAATGTGCAGTGCTGAATAGTCACTACAGAGACATGAGATAGATACATGTCAATCACACCATGCACAAATGAAATGTATATATTAAACAGGAAAAAAAAAAACTAAAATATAATAAATAAAAGAAAGAGAAGAAAAGAAATTGAACAGTGTGCAAAATAATCCCTTCCATGTCACTGCCAGATTACTAGTCATATTTTAAAATCACTTTTAAACCAAAACCTCAGAGTGTAACACAAATGCGCAGCATGGCTGAGCAGTATTCAAGACCCAAACCTTTAAAGGGTCTGGAATTCTTTTAAAAAAGGGCCCCACAGCTTCTGAAAGCTCTTATTTGAATGCTGTAGTGAGTGCCTAATTTTCTCCAGTCTTAGATAGGACATGATATCCTCCAGTCATTGCACATGGGTGGGAGAGAAATTATCCTTCCACCTGAGCAGAATTGCTCATCGAGCCAGAATGGTGGCAAAGGATAAAGTGTGTTGTTTGGCTATGGTTAACTTTTTCTCCCCTCCCATGACCCCGAACAGAGCTGTCAATGGGTTCGGGTCTAATTTTATGTTTAACACCCAAGAGAGTGTATGAAAACCTCTGTCCAGTATGTCTTAAGGGCTGAGCAGGACCAGTACTTGTGAATGAGAGAGACCTCCTTATAATTACATTTCACGCAATGTGGACTTACATCTGGGTATATGGAGGAGAGTTTTGCTTTTGAAATATGAGTCCTATGTACCACTTTAAACTCAATTAAACAGTGACGTGCACAGAAGGAGGTTGAAAAATCAATTTGAATATTGAGCGGCAAGTATCCTCTGATATAGGAAAACCCTGGTCCTCGTCCCATGCCGTTTTGAGCTTAACTGTGGGGTTATTCCTAAGATCCAAAATTTTGCTGTACAGAGCCGAAATTAGTCCCTTTATAAGTGGGTCTATAGAGAGGACAATGTCAACACTGCTCAGTTCTGCTGCTGTTGTGGTCATCTGAAAAAAGGACAAAGTGTCTTGCCTGAAGATACCTGAAAAAATTTGACTTAGGGAGGTTGAACTTTTCACCAAGCTGCTCAACTGATGCAAAATTATTGTCTTTGAACATCTCTTTGAAACGTACAATCCCTTTTCTGTGCCATTATTGAAAAGCAGAGTGCTGACAGGATGATTTGAAAAGACAGTTTGATGCAATGGGGCTATGCAGTGAGAAGCTATGGAGACTAAAGCACTTATGAAATTGGGCCCAGATTTTTAGAGAATGTTTAACCACTGGGTTCCTGTTTGAACTAAGAGGGGGAAGTGAAAGTGAGGACCCGAGGAATGCAAGAAATGACAAATCATCGTTAGAACGCAACTCCATCGCCACCCCGTTAGGGCACTCAGGCTGGTCATAGCAGGAGGACCAAATTGCAAGGCAACGCAAGTTAGCAGCCCAATAATAAAAGTGAAAATTTGACCCCCTGTCGCCTTGTTTTTTTTTTAATCCTGTTCAAACGTGGCCATTTAGCCTGCCAAAAGTATGAAGAAATAACTGAATCAAGAAGTTGATATCAGGATCCAGGGATAAAGAGCGGTAAGCAGTAAGATTTAATTTATAGCCTGAAAGTTTACCAAACTTACTGAGCAGCGACAGAATAGGGGGCAGCAAAGCTGATTGTCAGCATAGAGTGAGACTTTGTGTTCTGTGTGACCTCTCCAGACACCAAATATATCCTTACAAGAGCGCAGTGCTGTGGCAAGCAGTTCGATAGAAATGCCGAAAAGCATGGGACTAAGGGGGCACCCCTGACGGGTTCCATGATGCAAACTAAAAGGTCTTGACCATTGGGAATCTGTGCGAAGCAAATATAAAAGTTTAACACATGAAGTAAAATCTGAACCAAAACCAAATTTGATCAGCACAGTTAACTGGTAGACCCATTCAAAACAGTCAAATGCTTTCTCTGCAATGAGAGAAACAATGCATTAAAGGACATCTTAAGAGGCCGATTAAATAAGGTTAAACCGTCTTCTTATATTAAAGTAGGACTGCCTGCCCTTAATAAAGCCTGTGTGGTCTTTGGATATGATCGTGGGAAGGGAGTTTTCCAATCTGTGCGCAATGACCTTGGCTAGAATTTTAGCATCTGTGTTCAGAAGAGAGCTAGGTCTACAGGAGGCACATTTCGTCGGGTCTTTTTCTTTTTTGGCAATAAGAGTGATACACGCCCCAAAAAATGAAGGAGGAAGGGAACCTTGTCTGCAGGATTCTGAGAGAACTGGACATAAGAAATGGGAAAGCAGCAAGGGAAATTTCTTTGGAAATTCTGCTGGGAGGCCATCAGGGGCCGGATACTTACCGGACTGCAGCGGGGAAATAGCTAGTGATATTTCTGCCTGGGATATAGGTTCTTCTAATTTCTTCCTCAGATCTGGTGAAAGACTGGGAAGACTGAGACCATTTAAAAAAATCGTGATGTCTTCACAATCAGCCTGAGATTCTGAAGTGTAACTTGTGCAAACTTTAAACAGGGTTCATTGTGCCTTGTAGAGCGTATTATTATTTCTCCAATTACTTTTTCTAATAGAGGCCAGAGATGGGGAGTGCACAACTAAAGGCCAGAACACAGGACAAGATTTTGAATCTGTGCCCACATAAAACCAAATCATATTCAGTTACATCTGATTGAAATTAATGGGGCTGGCCAGATCACCCACAATTCGCTGCAAATGTGCTTGCACAGAGGTAGACACCTGGTCTATCTTGGTTGGACCTACACAGTAATTTGGCCTGAATGTCTTCAGTCAAACAGGAAGAGAAACACAGTGACAATGTAAAGCATGTCTGCTTCGTGAAAAATAAAAAGTAAAATCTCTAAACAACAAAGTAACCATGTTGGCCCAGTTCATATGGAAATACACAGGTCATATATAGCAACATTGGCACACTTGGACGTGCACATACACAATTAATAAAGCCTTTCAATCAGCAGTATACTTACCCATAGTGGGAGATTAGGAGCACAAAGAAAGTGAAGCATTCATTTCCTATGAATCTGTTACATAGTAAGAACTACAGATTTATGTTTACTACCCTGCTTGTTTATGCTATTGGAATTTTTGGGACATACTCCCCGATGAATACTTGAACTTGCATGGTCCTTAGAGGGAGCCTATATGTAGCCAGTATAACAAAGAAAATTGCATCAGAGCTAATAGAGTTGAACTGCAGTAGTGTGTTTCAGTTTTAATAGTTGTCTGCAGAGGGTTACTGTAGGGTTAGGTTCTCCCCCGCTACCTATGGATCTGTGTTGCCCCTCAAAAGTTATTTTGAGGCTTCTAGCTGCAACAAACCTGTGGGGTCTTCATAGTATAGCTGGTTTTACTCAAGAAATTCAGTAAAAGACAGGTGGTCTCTATTTAATGACAAAATAATTTCTAAAAGTATTTGGTTGCACTGGATTTTACTTCCCGCTATTACATTAAACAGCACATGTCAATACCAAACTTTTGAAAACAATGTAGTTTTCTTTCCACTTTGCTTTTAGGCACTACTTCTTATTAATACATTACAGATATATCTCGATAATGATCCCCTTTAGTTTACATTGCAATTTTTAAATTCTACGACATTGTGTATTTTGCATGTATCCCATCCCTTAGAGAGCAGTAGGTAGCTCTCTCACGGGGAGCATTGTCTGGCTAAGTCCCGGTTCACACAGACTCTGTCATCTGCTACTACCTGTACCTGAAACCCTTCTAGTCAATACAGTATTTCCCAATGGCTCTTAGATGCTGCTGTATGATGGAGAGCCTTCCTCCATCACCTGTCAGAGGAACTGGTCATGTCTTTATTTGATGAAGGATGTAGCCAAATGTGTAAAAAAAAAAACTGCTAAGGCAGAGATAAGTCAGACACGGGAAGAGTAAAACAGCTCCTGTATATTTCAAACCAAAAAGGGAGCTGTTTTGCTTAAGGACTGGCAGTTATTGTTTTGCACCAGTGTCACTATAGCATCTCCAACACCACTCTCTAACCACAAGTCTATCACTCCCCAAAGGTTACTGCTGGGATTTGAATACAAGTTATCCTGTTTAGTAGACAGCTGCTTTATCCCTCTAACCTTGAGCATCATATCAGCTAAAATAAAAAGGACAAATTGATAATGGAATGTAGCTAAAAATCTAGATAATTAATCAGAGGCATACATCACAATAACATTTTGTACCGGTAATCAAATACTAATGTGTGACAAATAAGAATAAAAAAATCAATTACAGAAAATAGAATAAATAAATAAACATTACATTTGGATTATGATTAATAAAATTCTTTATTTAGTGATATGTTAGAGGTATGGTCTGAATTATCTTTAGGTTAAGGTTAGGGTTAGGAATATGCTGGGAATGGTTAGGGTTAAGGCAAACGTCAGAGTTAGGCATCAAAGCAATATGAATTGAAGTCAATTAAAAGTTTTAACACAGATAGAAAGACAAACTTGTGTGTGTGTATGTGGGTGTGTGTGTGTGTTGGGGATTCTTTTCAATATAACAATTCATTATACTTTTGTACAGCAAATGTGTAGAAGGCACCTAATTCAACGTTTGAGCATTTTGTCATTGTTAATTTTCCATGTCAATGTCTTTGTTTGTACCTTCAAATAACACCCTTTCTCTTTCCTCCCAACCTGCTTCACCCCAGAGGTCCAAGATAGCTGTTTATGAGAAGATGTGGTCTTACATGAAGTCAGCTGAGCCCTCCGTCTTCACCAAAACAACAGCGGAGGGAGTGGCAAGAGTGCGCAAGTCCAAGGGGAAGTACGCCTTCCTCTTGGAGTCTACCATGAACGAATACACGGAGCAGCGAAAGCCTTGTGACACTATGAAAGTGGGAGGAAATCTGGACTCCAAGGGATATGGCATTGCCACACCGAAAGGCTCACAGTTAAGGTGGGTGGAATAGTGTAACAATAGGAAACAGTAGCAACGCTGAGGCTGTACTATTGCTGCAATATTCCACCTACCCTGCTGTGCCTTTTAACCCACACATTAATTGGACTGACACTGCTGACAGGTTGCAGGTTTTTAAACATCAAAATTTACAATTGGATCATTAGTATCATTTGAAGAAATTAAACTAGATATATTATAAGTTAACTCTAACTTTATGCAGTAGTTACACTTGGCAGCAGTGACAAATAAATGTTTTAAAAGTAATTATGTCATCATGCTTTCTCTTTTGCTTTAATTTCTGTCTTGTTTTATGTTTTTTTATTATGTTATTGTTTCTGTCAGTGTTTTTGCTGTACTAGTCCTTTTCTGCAACCTCTCTTTTGATTTAAGGCATGTCCTTTCTTTCTTTCTTTGTCCGGTGTCACTGTTATCCATACTCTCATCTGTGGTCCTTACCTTTGTTGCACTGTCAACCATACCTCTTTTTTCCATAGGGCCAACTTCCAGGTAACCTTGTCCATTTGTCTGCTGTCTTTATTGTGTTTTCCATGAATATGATGTTGAAGGTTATTAGAATATAATACATATATTTGCAGAAATTTTCCATGAGGAGGGGTAGAAACTCAGACATGTGACACTTTCTCTAGAGCCACACGGGGGGAATTTATAGACTATCAGGAAACATATAACTGAGGGGCCCTGTCAATGGGGGGACTAGTGAGCAAAGCTATCCAGGCTTCCTGTATCAAAATTGTTACAAATGCAAAGAAGCATAATATTGATTCTCTTAATCACATAGATTGGTACATTAAAAAAGCCAAATGGGCAACTTAAATATCACATTGTTTTTAATGCAATATACTTTATCAACCAATATGTAAACATTTGATTTAACAAAAATGTATTTGAGATAGAGGAAATGAATGAGAAAGCAACTGGTTCTAACTACAGTTGTTCTTTTTATTTTGGCAATATACCCCATTTCAGTCCTGTACTTCTCTTACTTGTTAACATGAGTCCACAATACAAGTGAACAGAGTTTAGGACAGCATAAAATCTATTTAAATTGTTGGCTGAATGTGTGAACGACTAAAAAGCTTTGGTTATATTTTGGAGAAAGTTTATTTCTCGCTACAAATCAGAAATGGATGTCTTTTTCCCTCTTGGCAATTTTATGCCTTGGCAATTTGTACTGTTCCATGAGAAAGCTTAGTATTTTTCTCAAATCTGTTTTAAAAGTAAATTTACAGTATAATATTTAATGACTGACTGAACAAAATGAACATAAAATAACTGAATTATACTTGAGGTTTTGCATTCATCACAATTCTTAATATTAAAAATAATTAACTACAATCAACGTAGTTTAACCCACAACAGTTGACCTAGACTAAAACCTATGGGAGTCTTAAGCCTCGGGAGCCCATCAGTGGGCCCTTGGGATTAAGTATAGTTATATAAAAAGGATTATTTTCAGGTCAGAATTGTAAGCAATGTATTATAAAATAGAAATATATACCAAGCAAAATGAAGGTACAAATTGCTCAAAGGGCTGGAATTGGAATTGACTGGAATACCTCAAAAATATCATATCATAGATCATTTAAGTAGTAAATACAAATAAAAGGAGCATTTCAGCATGTTTATTTATAGCAGTCCGATGCCTTCCTTACAGCCCTGCTCAATAAAAGTCTATTGACAAAGAGACAATTCACAAATAAAGAAATAAAACTAAAATCATCTATCACTTGTAGAAAGTTGGTTGTACATTTGTCCTGCAAAGTTTCAATTATTAACTACTGCAGATATATTTACAGGATTTTTCTACCAAATTATTTTCTTACAAAAATACTTGGAATTGGTCTGTGTTTAATATTTAAGTGATCTACACCCCTTTAATAACATATTTTTATTTAACACAATGTGAAGCCATAAAATATAATGCTTTATTTGATTAATGAAACCAAACTAATGAAAAAATGTCAATGGCAACTGAGCTCACTAGCTACACGACTGTGTGTTAGAACCATATTCAGGGCCTTAATTTCATTATTACCAAGATAGAGTTTTATTGTTACAAAGAAATGTTGAACTTCACATTGTTTCTCTTTTTATACCTGAAATTGACTTGGGTCCTTGCAGCTGCAGATGCCAATGAAGCCCTTTAAATATTAATATTCAAATAGCAGTAAAACTGAATTACCTGATTTTCCAGGCAAAATAACATATAGCTACAATTCTTTTCTGGTTTTCTTTAATACTATTAATGCATGTAAGATCCCCAGTAAATTCTGTCATCTAGACCAGCGGTCCCCAACCTTTTTTGCACCACGGACCGCTATATGTCAGACAATATTTTCACGGACCGGCTGGGAGGGTGGGGGGGATACGATCAAGTAAAATGATACGACTGGCATAAAATCAAATACAAACAGCATAAAAATAAAGCAACAAGCCGGTCCCATCTAGGCGTAATCGGAGAAAATGACAGACGAAGTGTGCTCCTGATGTCCAGTCTGCTCCGTAGCTTTGTTTTGGTCGCTGTAACCGCAGAAAATCCTGCTTCACAAATATAGGATGTTATAGATAGGATGAGTCTTGAACTGAATTAACCTGTGTCAAGAGGCACAGATGCACCGACTGACGTAATTGGGAGAGAAAACTGCAATTTTGAATATTTTTCTAAATAAAACATCACTCAGATTCTGATCGTCCATATATATATATATACTTTTTTCTGTGCGGCCCGGTACCAAATGACCCACGGACCGGTACCGGTCCACGACCCGGGACCGCTGATCTAGACTATGTTGTTTCTTAAAAAAGTTTTGCTCCACCTAAGCTGCAATTTGTATGTTAAAAGACTATAATTGTGCCAACGAGTGACTTTCCCACCATATGGGAAAAGAAGTGGAACATAAAGGGTTTTTGCTCAACTTGAGCATAAAGACATCAAAGACTTTTAACTACTGTAAACCCACAGCAGTAAAACACCCCATCGCCTTCTGTTACCAGAAGGGCATTTCTAAACAAATTTGCAGCGTACACAACGTATAGTATTGTGTAAAGATGTGCTAAAAGCTAATCGTTTTATTGAATATTTCCTTTATTAAAATAGAGCAGTTTTTATATGGTGACCTTGTGGGTGGGGTCAGCGCTGAAGACAGTCAAAGCAAATATGACACAGCATTGCAGATAAAACAAACTCATTCCAGGCTAGTTGCCAAATCTAGTTCTAAAGAAGCCCTAACATTATATTTCCTTAAAATTCTTAAAAACTGTGAACAAATGATAGATAATTTTAGCAAAAAAAATCCTGTATTATTTTTAAAGGCATTTTGGTAACACAAGAGGTCATATTCATTTAACTTTTTATCTTTGCCACATTAAAATCCCCAAATTCTATGTGTTTATTTGGAATTAGTTTGACAGATCAACACAAGTTAGTGTACTATACTGAGTTGGTTGGGAAATTACACATAGTTTTCAAAGACTATTTATGAATAAAAATCTGAATGCATTTTTAACTCAGCCTTAACGATGCTGATTTACAGCTTTAAGATGTTTGTCTCAATCAGCTTTGCACATCTACAGACAAAGATTGTTGACAAAGATTATGCTTTTTTTTGTGTTTAAACCTGCAGTTGGTCAAATATGATGGAGATCAGTTAAGAATAAACTAACTCTATTTATGTAAAAATGAAAATAGACCTTATTGGAATCAATAAACAAAGAATTAAGACAATAAAAAAAACATGAGCAGTGAGTCTTTTCTTATTAAAATAAGAGACACTAAGTCAGTGGGTAGTCATGCTCTGTGTCTCAGGATGCATCCCTTTCAGGCTTCCCAACTGATGTTGATAAATTGTCTGAGTCCAACTTAGAAGGTGGCTGAAGCCAAACTGTTCTCAGCGGGCTTTGAATGGCTTCATGTCTGTATCCAGTTCCTGCAGGGCATGATCAGATCACCCAGGATAGATGTGAGTGGCAGATCTGAATGCGACCCGTGTCTCCCTAGAATCACAGTCGGTGTTTTTTCTATGACATTGTAAATAAAAAAGTCTCTTTTAATGTTTTCATAAGCCATCACAGACAGAAAAACTTAAATAAAAAAGCATTTAACTTATCCTGTCTGCATTTTGTGGTTCAACTGAACATAAGTTATCTTTAAACTTTAGGTTCATTTCTTTGGTTAAATCCATGCTTTAACTACTAGATCTTATAATTATCAAAATATTGAGCTGATTGTCTTAGGTTTGTATATGTTATGGAAACAAAGTTTTAGGACTGAGTTAAACCTAAATTAGAACTATAGACTGAAATAGTATCTATTGAATTGTAACTGTTGCTTTTAAGAGATGTAAATGTATTTTGGTCTGGAGTCCAAAAAGCTTTAAACCATAAGAACTTTAAATACTTTTATTTAAATTTCAATAAATAATGAAAGAATTTTGACCAGCTGCTCTCTCTTCTGCTCCTCCAACTAATATTGTCATGATTACAGATTTGCCTAGTGAAAGGCAACAACATAAACTCTACATCAGTATTAAGTCCTGTACTATAACTCCCCCCCACACACATACTCACACAAGCACACCCTGACCCCCTACAAAATAACTTCTGATGCAAAGATATTTAAGACCACATCCTCCCTGCACTTCACCTCCTGATTTAAAATGTTTTATACTTATGAGGGAAAAGTCATTGACAGCATGTGGAAATTTTACTGTTTATGTCCCTTTAGGACTTATTTCAAAAACCATCCACTGTTGTCTTTGGTTCCTGTTGGTTAATAGAACGTACGCTCTTTCAGTCTCATGTGGCAGGGAGTGTGCCTAAGTTTGAGTCTTCCTCTCCTCCTGGTTTACTATTGGCAAGACTTTCTTGACTATACCATGTTGACAATAGGCATAAATATGTATAGAATTGATATTTCAGTTGAGATGTTCTGCTTTTTTAACTGCTGTAATGAAAACTGATGAGTAACCATAATGTTTTTCTTTTCTGATTATGATATGTTTGAATTGTTTTCACCCATACCCCCTATGTTGATATATCACAGCTTGTAGAGAATCCCCCCAAAGAACACTGTCTCTCTAAATCTCCTTTTTACTTTTACTTGGATACCATCAATGAGGACTTTTTTTTTTTTTTTTGCTTATTCACCAACTCTCAAGTCCCAGCATAGGACAACCTTGAACTGGACCATCTGGTTCTAAGATAAGACTCTAGGTATGCAGTAAAATCAGAAAATCTGAAATCATGTAGGCTGGTACTTTACGAATCTCAGTATGTCACTGTATATTCTCAAAGTTATCTGTAACATATTTTAGTGGCATATTCTTTTAGGACAACAGTAATGGAACCAAAGTATGAAATCCATCTATTGCACAGGGACTCTTAAAGTACCCCTTCCACAATTATAATGCAAGTTTTTTCTAATGAAAAACTAATGTACTTTGAAAGCTTTTTGTCAATATATTTGCAAATTGTTACAATTGGTACAATTCAAAGCAGATCTACTGCACCGAAAATGGAAAAAGTGAAAAACCATGGTAACTCTGTTGAAGTAATGGCATTGAATACTTATGGTAGTGGAATTTAATTTTAGTTTTTCTTGTAGGAGTTTTTTTAGCATCTCACATTTAGAATTGGCAGCATTACCTTAGAAAAGATCATAAAATCTCCAAAGCTATCACATTTTTAGCCCTCTTTAGGAGAACCCCTCCTATTTTCTCAGCAGGGAAATTCAGGACTGGCTAGATCATTCCAACACTTTGAGGTTAGGGTAATTATCTTTCAACAAATCTTTTTATTTTGTTGATTTGGAAATATATGCCGGAACACACTGATCACTGCTTTTTTCAAGTCTGATTTCATCACACCCCAACTCTCCTAGAAAGTTTGGGAAGTTTCAGTGAGGTTTCGATGTTTAATGTGGGATGCAATCATTTTATCTTGCATCCCAACTCTTAGGCCATGTATTAATTGAGAATAATGCCAAATGTACATCAGAGAAGTATGTGGCAGAAATTCGTTGTTCTAGACAGCATCCGAGACGAGCGTCAGTCTGATCAATTCATCATCATTTTGGTGAAATATCCAGTTTGGCAATGCATATAGTATTTCAATTTTTTCTCTAATTAATGTATTGGGAACTGTTACTATTCTTCCTCGTTCTTATTTTATGCTGTACCTTTTACTACTGATAAACAGGTACAAAGAGAGTCTTTTGATCATTTGTAACAAGCGTGGGCATTATTGTTTTATCTTAAGAATGCAAATGAGCAAAATGTTAAGTAAATTCCACTGATGAAGGAACATTTTTTTTATTAACCTTATTTGTGTACGGACTATTGTTAGGATTTTTTTAATATAATGTATTGTTTTTTACTCATGCAGGAAATAATGAGGCCAAATAACAATTTTAGAAATGAAAAACAAACTTAACAGACATAAAATAAACTTTAGTGAGCCACTGCAAATAGGGAATGCATCGAATAAATTTGCACAATTTTTCTTAGCTGGAGCCACTTTCATTATGGATCTTAATAAGCAATGCATACACAAATAATATGCCAGACATACAAAATTCCCAGGTGATTTAGAAGAGACAAAAATTCCTTTGCATACATTCCAGGAATGTCAGATATTTAGCCTTGTCTCTGTGGATTTAGTTTGAAGGTCAGTGGGCTCTGTATTGTGAGTGATTGTTGCAGTTCTCATCTGTGCAGCTCAGCAGAGAAACTAGAGGTGGACAAGAGCACCATCCGCAGGCTGCAGAGATATGGTTATCTCAGTTTACTCATGCAGTCTACAGCTTTTTGATGCAACCCCTGGAAAGTAAATGCTGAAAACCAGGAAAAGATGAGACAACAAAACAAAAAACAATAAAAAATTAAAAAAAATAACAGCAAAACTGTATAACTTAGTCGAACATTGGTTAAAAATTCATAAGAGACAGAGTTTTTTGGGGTGCATCTCCCCCATTAGTTCACTTTTATGCCTTTAGACCCTCTTGATTTATCCTCCCCATGCGTCCTCCCATTCTCTTCCCTTTTTCATTCTCCTCCATGGCTGTGGTTTCCATCCATCTTGTCTGTTTGTCCTTCCATCCTCTGCTCTGACCAAACTATGTTATCTGTCCCTCCTTTTTTACTTAAAGAAATGCGGTCAACCTGGCCGTGCTAAAACTCAACGAGCAGGGCCTGTTGGACAAATTGAAAAACAAGTGGTGGTATGACAAAGGAGAATGTGGCAGCGGGGGAGGGGATTCCAAGGTTAGCCCTCTCTGTCTGCCCCACCCGCCCCTCCCCAACTACTTGACAACAGGGGCCACTCACAAGTTACAGTAGCTTGCGAAGGCCCCTGTCCTTGGAGAGTGTAACACATGCATCCGCCCTGCCAAAGGGTTTATAGACCGTACAGGGAGCGGAAACATAAAACCCTGTAATCTAAGATACTAAACACCATCAAAGATATTCAGATACTGAAATAAAAATTTTAAAGAAAACCATTACTTTGCAGTTTTAAGAAGGACCTTTTGGAAAAAAAAAAAGGTATTTCAAAAAGTATTAATTTATATAAATTATTTTGACTACCTTCCAGCAGACAGGATTCTTAACAAATCCTGTATTAAATCATCGAAAAAGATTGTTGTATAATTTTACTCTTGCCTTCCTAAAAAAAATCTAAATTGGAAATAGCAAAAAAATGAAAAAAGATTTGGAAGATGGGTTTAAGTACAGAAAAAGAGTGATTACTGTTAAGACAGGAATATTATCCACCTAGTGGCAGCTCTATGAAAATGAGACAAACAAAATTTAATGTAATGATTGCATAATGTGAGCTTTTTTTACTTATTAGGTTGGAAAACTGTTTTTTTTAAAAGGTGAAAATTACAGGAAACAAGTAGGTACTTATCTGCGCATGTGGAACTGATTCATATGTAAAATAGATAGTATTCTATTTTTCCTGTTATTCTTACTCATGTAGCTAATGTAAAGTTGGTCAAAAGTGCCTGCATGCGTATGATACATTTGAAACATGACTAGGTTGAACATACTTCAAACTCCAGGCGTCAGACTGTATGCTGCAATTGGATGTAATGTGGAAATATTGACAGCAAATTCCTTCTGCATTTATGATGCACCTGAACGTAAAGGCAAGCAATGAGTTTTTTAAGTGTTTATTTAAAAATAAAATAATTTCAATCTTAATATAATTTGGAAATGAGTAAAATGTAACAGACACTGATATTATGCTTAGCAATTGTTGACTAATTCGATAGCAATCCAATTGCATATTACTCTTTAAAGTTAGTTTTAACATAATAACCAGCAATAGTTTAAACTTAGCTCCCTGTGTTTTTTTTTCTATGCTTGTTTTAACCAATTTTCCCAAAAGCATAACATTAGTATGACCATATTATTGCATTTCAATTAGTTATTCAATAATGACAGACCTGGTGCATCACCAACTTAATGGAATATATGCAGGCGGAGTGAAGCCATTTAAATCCAACATCTTGGAAGTGTTCCCACATAACGTTGGGTGCCAGTCTAATCTATTAACACAAGATGTTGCACTACTTTCTGTTATATGTGAAAGCTTCAGCAGTTCAGCTATGGTACGAAAGACGTTTTTACAGCTGCTGTTAAATGCAATCAGACTTTGATACTTTGGTCTGTACTGAAGTTTTCGACTGGGGCATTGCATTGCAGCAAAGCCATATGCAAAGCACAGTACTGACTAAATTTGAACATATCAAAAATTTTTGTTTAATAAATCTTAAATTCCATAGTTTAAGTTGGAAATCTGGAATTCGATCTGTAAATACAAGCATAGAGCTAGTCTCATTCTAATAGTCCTGTCTTGACAGCATCTTCCTCTTTTTTATTTTGTTAACAGCAGGGGCGGAATAAATGTGTTACCACGAGTGACAAAGGTGGGTCCCACTCATATGTCTGTAGCTCGACTTAGCTCCTTGTAACCCCCCCAGCCCCTCCTTAAACGAGCTTACACACATGTACTCAGTGGGATCCATGCTCGGTCACCTGTATGTACATCAGAGTTTTTTATGTGACTTGAGATGTTCAATGCAAATGTATAATACCATAATAACATAAAATAACATGACCTATGATGTTATTTATGTTATTTTTACACGCAAAGAACCCCGGTAAACCTTGCAGTTTTGAAACTGAGCGAAGCAGGCGTCTTAGACAAACTGAAAAACAAATGGTGGTATGACAAGGGAGAGTGTGGACCCAAGGACTCTGGAAGTAAGGTCAGTCTCACGCTGCTATGGCCTGCAGAACGCTAGCCTGAAAATACGCTTCAGATTACTGCTACTACTGCCTTAGAAGTAGCTTTATTCGAAACTATCCTGATTGGTCAAAAATAAATAAGAAGCATGCTTGGCAAAACAATTTACATATCCTTCTTACGAATCCTAATGCCTTCTGTTTGTTTTTACCAGATGTAATTAATGTTGAATTATAACACATATTTGATTAGTTTCTGCAGCAGTCTGTGGCACTCCATTTTAATTACACTTACAGAAATTCCTAACTTTCATCATTTCTATTTTTTCTTAGATTAGATCTAATGCATTGAAACATCCATTCTTTGAAATAAAGCTGTTTATAGTTAACTTCCCCTGATTTTATCTAATATACGGTAGTATAGGCTAGGGGAACTTTGCATTGCTTCTATTATTTTTAGTAATGGTTTTCTTTATGAGTTCAATAGTTTTTTTTATTATTATTTCAGAAAACTAAACTTCTTAGCAATTTAAATAAACAATCTGAGGCTAATTGCTACTGCAGGCCATTACTTACAGTATATTCCAAAAATACCCCACAAGCTTCTTGATATTTTTTCATGTTATAAACGAAAACTTAAAATAGTTTCATTTGAATTTTCTAAAGTATATCAAAATAATTAAGCATATACGTTTGAAGTCAAACGAAAAAAGGCTTTTCCAAACAATTTTAGCAATGAAAAATGGTCATGTGTTATTGTATTCATCCCCCGTCCTATGTTCTTATATAAAATCCAGCAGCATTAGGTTTAGAAATTACTCAGTAAGAAAATATAATTTTTTTTTTAATATTCACACAGTGACTAATGAACCCATGAGACAAATGAAGAGTACACTCGGGGAAGCTTTTAGCAGGATTAGGTTATAAAAGATACCCAATGCTTCAGAAATCGAAGTATAGGTAAGAGAATATATCTACAGAGAAATATTAAGAACCCAAAAATTTTAGCCTATTTGAAAGACTACCATAGAAAAAATTCATTAATGAACCAAAGTCCTAAGAACAATAACACAAAAACTTCTTTTTCAGTGTTTTGTTTTGTTGTATATTTCAATTTGTCTAAATTCAAAATATAATGAGTGAAGGAAATCTAAAACTTCAACCTGAACACCAATGGTCAAACATGGAGGTGGCAGGATGATACCATGAGGATACTTTTTAATTTAGTAGTGACAGGAAAGCTGATCAAGGTTAACTGAAACATTGATGGAGTAAATATGGAAAACTTGTTAGAGCCTGCAACATTAACTACAGCCTTTAACATACAGCTAGGGCAATAATATTTGAGCTCTAATTGTAGCAAAAGTTAAAGTGTTGAATATGCACACCACACATTTCCGATAGGTTAACAGTTAACTTATGATATAAACCCCAATAAAAGACTTTAAAGTTTGAGGTTGTAACATGAAAAATGTAGAAGTTTTAAAATGTATTAAAAAAACTTGCATTTGTCAAAATATAAGTAAAAATGTCTATTGAAAATAAACTGTAAAAGATCCAAATTCTAACGGAATAGTGAATGGGCTGAGAAAAAAGTTGTTTTTCCTGTTACATTTAAATAATGATCTCTTAGGTACATGCAGGAGGTCACCTTTTAAGCTAAACTAGAGCTAAAACTTTATTCATCTTGAATAAAAGCAAATTAACTAGGAAGACATGCAGGCCAATACTGTAATGATCAATTTCTATATCTGTATAGGTTTGATAATGGATTTAAATTTGATTGAAATCCATCACATTGAAAATATTCTACATTGCATTTACTCGATAGTATTTAAAAGACTTACACAATATAATAACCACGTAAGACCCTCTACATTTTGCAGTAGACTACCAAGATGTTTATTAATTAAAAACAAATTGTTTGACTGATTTATACATGATTTAAATCTCATAAATTACTTTAGATATATTCCACAGTTTATAATGTTGTCCTTATGTCATAAACGTGTTTAAGTGTGTTTTGTAGTGTTGTGGTGGCAGTAGTGAAACTTGTAGCTAGTATTTTGTAATGTGATCAGTCCAAATACTACTGTGATGTTTTTTCATTGGCATAGATAAGATTTTATCAATAGAATATTAACAGTATTATTTATTTTGCTGTTTCCCAGTGTCTAACTCACTGTTCCCTTATTCTCTCTGTTTTTTCCCCTTGTTTAACCCCTACTCTTATCACCTTGACCACTCCTCTCTCGTCTTTCCATCCTTTTTTCTCTTAATTTTTACTTTTTTTCCTACTTTCCCTTCCATTCATCCATATTTTTTTTCCAACCATCTTATTTCCAACAATTCTTCCACTACACCATCACCCTGACTCCTCCATCCTTCCCTCGCTCCTCTTTCCTGCAGGACAAGTCATCTCAGGCTCTAAGCCTGTCCAACGTGGCTGGAGTCTTCTATATCCTGGTGGGCGGCCTGGGCCTGGCCATGCTGGTGGCCCTGGTCGAGTTCTGCTACAAGTCAAGGGCCGAAGCCAAGCGCATGAAGGTGGACCTTAGCCCCCCCCACTGCCCCAGCCCCTCCCCCAGCACCCAGAATCTAGCCACTTATAGGGAGGGGTACAACGTGTACGGCTCCGAGGGGGTCAAGATATAGGGGTAGGATTTAGAGGCTCCCATACATAGGTGGGGTAATGGTGGTGTTGATCATGGTGGTAGTGCTGTGGAGTTTGTTTTGTGGAGGCTTTCGTGCCACATGTTCGATGTGGTGTTGATGATGTGGTCAAGCATTGTGGAACCAAAGTACTGTTTTCTGTTTTGGGCTGTATTTTTCTTTATTAGCCCAAATTTTACATGGATTTTAAAAAGAATGGCTTTAAATTTGGTTTGTGCTTCTTTTTTTGACTATAGCTTATTGGATTTTTGTAAGCAAAACTTGGTTCCATCGTCTTTGGCTGCAATTGATCAGGATGATGGTGATGATAAAGAGGATGACAGTGATGGTGAAGCACTTGGCCAATGAACTGGCTAGTTACCTGCATTTTTATTTCAGTCACATTCTTATATTATTGGGATGAATTAGGGATGCACAACTCTGGTTAATTTACATCCATTCTTTATTTTCTATGTGTTTGTTTGTTTTTTTGTTTTTTGGACAAATAACTTATCAACTATAGAATAGTTATGATCAATAGAAAAGAATAAGACAAAGAAGGGGCAATTAGAGTAACTATAGATTAATTGTGTTCTCTCACAATGCATGTATAGATTCTAAAACATTATTTCATTTTTTATTCATTTTACTTCTTTCTGAAACAATTCTTCTTTCTGAAAAAATCTACTTACAGTTACTTGAATTCCTTCACTGAAAGGCCATAGTTAAATTAGGTTTACAACCAATAGGGGAGCATAACCTTGTTACTTATGTTCCCCTAATCAAATATGTTGCCTTCTTTTTGGCTGAAATATAGGGAATATGTGGAAATGTGGAAAATGTGGAAAGCAATTATCAGGAATTTGTTTCTGATTGGAACGGTGTTTGCCTGTTGACCAAAAAATTCGACCGCATATTATGGAGAAACAATTCATCAAGATATTAACTTCGGGTGCATACTGAGATTTTTCTTTTTGCAAACATAATCTGACCTGTAGGCCTTAATGTTTGGCTTTATTGTATAGGAATGAAAAACAATGTAAAAACTGTGACAACAAAATGTGTTGTCACAAAGTGTTTTCCTGTGATAGCTTCCATGGGTTTTTCAAATTGTCCTCTCTCCTGAAGGGCATTTAGTTTATTTTTCATACTAAATCCCCTACAGCTTTCAATGCCTTATTTTCAACTGTGTTCAGGCTTGTAGCTCAAGTAGTTAAGGGCTCTCTTCAGCATAATTCAGCGTTGCGAACTCTGAAAATCTCTCTTTTATACTAAAACTTAGTCTTAGTCACTTATAAAACTCTAATGTTTTATAAGTGTATTAGTTCTTTGACTGACATCTGGGCTCCCTCACCCTGGGCTCTGTCCAGTGCTTTTCAGAACAACTGCTTGTTACACTAATTTATTTTAAATGAGACTGAATTTAGGCAAATATGCTAAATTCTGTTAAGCGCAAATGCCGCCAATACAGAATTTGCACATATATGTTAGGAAAGCAAGTAAACCCATGCCCTCCAAACTTATGCTACGTTCACACCGGGTGCGTTCTGGTCATTAAAGCATCTGATTTACATGCAATGAATATGGGGACGGTGCATCTGATCGTTCTGGTGTCCGAGCGTTGGAGTGTCCAAGCATATGAGCGTTCGATTCTAGAGTTCTGAAATTTTATTCAAACCTGATCCAGGAGTTTTCTGGCAGAGATAAACACTACTTGCAAGCTGTCATCGCTTCTGCAAATAAAAAATAAATAAATATCAAGGGGTTGAACTCAAAAGGTTAAAAAAAAAAAGCAGAACGAATGGATTGTTATGTAGAAGGAACAGAGATTGAGCTGTGATCATTACTGCTCTACTAAAACATATTTATAAATATTCTGTAGAAACAGTTTATAAATACCCAAATTAACTAAACATGTTAAAACCTGCTGACAAAAAAATATTTGATTGTATATTTTGGTACTCATAGTTTTTAACAAAAACCTTAAAAACTCATTATATTAACTCCCAACCCCTACAAACCACAGCGGGAATTCCCCCACAAGCTGCCTGCAGCAGGAAGCTCTCAGCTGGGATTTCTAGCGCCTGCATATTTTAGTGGGATCATAATCCTGATGAACTGAGAGAGGATGTTTGGAGGTTGACTTTTTCGCGTAAAAACATGTCAAAACTATTTTCCAACTCATAAACTAAAGTAAGCCAAGCTGCTCACTAACTTGAAGCTACAGCACAGAGCAGATAAACAACCAGAGTGCTGAGCATCCAGAGCTTTGAAGCATCAAAGCAACTCGACCACAGTTTGATTCAGCGTCTGACACAGCTTCCAAATGTCTGTGTTTACACGTTTTTGGTGCTCATAGCACCTGTGTTGTGAATTCAGCATTAGTTATTTGCCTTTGCAGGCAGGTAAACATATGCACCTGTTCCATGCAACTAGACAAAGAGCAAAATTTGAAGGTAGGGATAAAGTGGCATGTTTTGGAGGGACTCCCACACGGCTGGTCTGTAAACCCAAACTCGCCAATAATTAATAAAACGCTGCATTGCTGTGCCGGTGCATAGCCACCTTACTGCAGCTATAGGTGGATTAGAGAAACGTCTCTGGGTCACTGATAGTTCACATTAAGCGGAGATATGAACATCACCTCCCGTATGGAAAAATAATTTAAAGAAGGAGCTCTTCTAAAATTATGTAAAGGGGCAAAACCAGTGAAAACGTTCAGCACAATAAAAGATTGCACAAGGGCAGCTAAGAATGCAGGCAATAACTTAGATGATGTTGATGTTTTGGAAAAATGATCTCTGACATACATGCACGAAGCGACAGTGATAATAAACAACAAAAGCTTTGAACACTGGGGCTTAACAGAAATTTAAGTTCAAAAAGTGAACTAAAACCTTCCATAGGAGGAAGGTAGAGTAAATATTCGATTTCAGTAGCTTGAAAACCTAACAAACCGACTCCCTGTGGAGAACTTAACATCCTGCCATTGTAGTATCTTGAAGTTGTTTCCTGTATTGAAAATCTTTGAAGCAAGTTATCAGTTATGGTCATGAATAACAATCCACTTAGTTTATAAAGCACTTTACATGTAAACCTCAAATTTCTACAAAGTAAAAAATAAAAAGCAATACTCAACATATGAACAAAGTGAAGAAGCAATTAATCAACACATTAACCTACATTAGAAGAACATGCAAACTAAGGTTAGAAGGTCAATTAAAACACAATGAGAACAAGAGTGTTTCTAATTTCATTTCAAAGACTTTACATTTTGTTGCGGTCTTATGTTTATGGGAGACTCATTCCATAATTGGGAGGTCAACTTAGGCAAAGGCCTTGTCTCCCATCGATGTTAATTTTGTTCGAGGAGCATGGGGACAGAAAGAATCAGTAGAATCAGTAGAGCGGAGGGAGAGCCCTGAGGTGGGTATGAATAGTAGTTCCTAGAGGTAGTCAGGCGCATTGCCATGAATGCACTGGTGTGTAAGGAACAGATCTTGTAATGAATTCGAACAGAAATGGGAAGGCAGCGAAGGGAGTATAAAAGTTGGGTTATTTGGTCAAATTTCCTTTCTCGTGTAAATAGTCTAGCAGCACTATTCAATCACTTTTTTCAATGTATGTATTTATTTATCTGTGTGCCAGTAAGTGGCAATCATTTATCATACCTTGTTCTGTTAAAAATTTAGTTTTCTAATCAAGGTGGAACACAATTTTCAACGCAAACCTATTGTACAATTTGAACTTTTATTAGGGGCAGTGTTATGGCTTATATAATTAATAATATCCTAGAGAAAAATAAAACATGACAGCTACATTTTTTTTTCTTTCAGTTAATCCATATTATGATTTGACAAAATACATAATTTAGTGATTTAATTGAAGCACATTGTTAAGTTTTTTTTTATTGCCTTTTTCTCATCCTTCTATCTAATCGAAGCAGTCACTTTTTTGATTGAATTTGGTGTTATAATCATACATTTTCCCAACAAATTTTCCTTCAGAATGCAAGAGGCAGATAAAGAATCATATTACATTTTAAATTCAGTATACCAAAGATAAATGAGAAAGCAGCAAGCTCTATCAAAGCTCTGATTGCTATTAGCTGACAGTGTTTTCATTCATGCATCATACATTTACTCTGTCATCCATGAACTGGAGTTGTGCAGCCCTGGTGCAGATGGTCTAAACAGCCTCGTTTGACATATTCCAGCCCAGCCCACCTCTTTACTTTGCATTGATGGAGAGGGATAATCGATGAGCAAACACTTCATATGGAACAGCCACTCAGTGATGTTGCAAAAACATGACCCATAAATTTACTGATGACACAGAGTATTTTCTCTGTAGTTAAGTAAAAGATTCTGAACTTAATGTTATTAGCCTTCTAATCAAAAAATTCAGATATAAACCAAGGCGTTTTAAACCTTCACCTTAATTCTTACTCTATATATCCATTATAATATGGTATTATTAAGGTATATAAGAAACAATATTAGGAGTCCAATGCATGAATCTATATATTTATGATAAAATGAATATAAACAAATAAAAATAATCAAATATTTCTGGCTTTTCTATTTAGCGTCATCTGCTTGAACCAGTATCTTCCTATCTTCTTAAACATATACAGTGTAGTTTTAATCACAGAAAATATAGATATGAAAGAGAAGCTTTAGATGTACAGATTTGCTAATAAAATGTCACAAAATAAACTTCTGGAAAGTAGGTACTGTTTGTATAAAATCAACTCTGTGACCTCTTTAGGTGTAGGATAATTATGAAATATTTTTCTATGAACACAGTTATTTGGTAACATGGTGGCTTAGCCCGAAAAAAGTTATCCAGTTGTGAAATAAGAAGAAGAGAGAAAAAAATAGCCCAGCGATGTTTGAGTTTACAAGAGAATGATTTCTTATAAAGAGGATTTTTCTAAAGTAGAAATTAGATTAGTAAGTATTTCTACCCGAAGTCTTGAAATGCATTTACTCTGTTAATACTTCTTAGTTTAAAGTGTTAAAAACTGGTATTTTAGTCTTTTTAGGTGTTATATTTTCAATAGCAGATAAAGATTAAAAACATAACCTTTGTCACTTAGATATCCCATATACTAATGAAGCCACTGCAAGCAAAAATGGTTCATATTAGGGTTTTTTTTCCCCCTGTGTTAATACAAATGTTACAATTCCACATTTTCAGCACACTGTGTGCCCAAAGCTCATAGCAAACATTTATGTTGGATTTTGTATCCGAGTCCATATTGAGCAGATAGACTGCTCACTTACAGAATGCTCCCATGACAAGCTCTTTCCAGACTTAATAAACTTTGTGTTATCTGACAAATATTGACAAATGCATCTACTGACACAGCATCTGTTGTATACGTCCTATAATAATATGGGGTATATTTAAACATTTTACTGGGAAAGTATTTGGCTTTGATTTACAATCAGCCAAATTACACTGTAACCTACTGTAATACAGAACCAAATATATTTGGTTAATCACTGGATTTGATCCAATCTCCATGACATTAGAATTGGATATATTAAGGTTAAATTTAGTGGAAGTGGATGTTTAATATAATTATTTAAATTAAGGCTAAATCATTAAATGCAAGATCAGTTTCTATTATTTTGGTTAAATTATTTATCTTAATATTTCCTTTAACTCAAAAGCACCCAGTAAAATCATAAACCATTTTGTAGGTTAATGTCACTTTAGGGTCTTTAGCCTGATACCTACCGGATTGTCCTACTAATGCTGGTTAATGCCTTTTTCAAATAGACCAAGGAAGTCCTTCACTACCATCTAATGGTGAGAATTATGCCCAAATTTATAAAACTGGATACTAAATGTATTAATTTATATCTATATGACATGTCATATTTGAATTAGTTATTTTTTGACTTGTTCCTTTGCAGCATTTGGGTTAAGGCAAAATTATATTTTTTTCAAATAACTAAATAAGGAAGAGTATATGTCTGTCAAGAGTGCATACATGAGCTAAAGTCTGTGAACAAAGAGTTGTTACTGTAAGAGATGTGGGGATTTACTTTCAACCAGCAGCTGCAGCAGTAACATCACTTGGTTACCTGTTTTCATGAAGTGTTAACCGCCTCTGAGCAGTATAGCCAGTCATTCCCTCTCTATAAATCTAAACCTTTAAAAAAAAATCACTCCTTCACATTTTTCCTTTGTCTTTCCAAGGTCCTCACCTTCCTAATTCTATCCTTTAAAATCTACACCTGAATCTCACAGACTACAGAAACCAAAACCCTGAAATGCATGTTACCCCCAGTTGTCTACTTCCCGAATCGTGTCTACCTTCTTCATGTTTGTTGATTGTGGCCTGCCTTGTCTTTTGTTGAAAAAAAAAAACTGTGACTGTATTATTGTGACGCTGTATAGAGATCCGAATGTGTTGTTTAGGTTGCATTTACCCCATTCATGGAATAGGTAAAAATATGTGGTTTGTTTGTAGCATTCAGCCCTAGAAAAAAGTTGAATTAGTTTGCATGAAAAAGCATTTTGTACCCTTTAGAACTGATTAGCTATTTTTCTGTAGCTAAACAAAACGTACTGGTTTCCTGTGAAGCTTTTCTCTCTTTATTTTCCATTTTACAGTATAAGGACAGATGAATAGACATTCTTACACTTGTATCGCAGCGTTTATAGATACAGACAAATTCACTAAACTATCACTGGAAGGACTTTTATATTAACCATTAGATAATTAATAAGAACAAATACATTAAAATAACCAGATTGTAAAAAAAGAAATGATTCTTAAATTGTAGTTTTGACAAGAATTACAATATTCTTTAATGAGTTTAGTTCTTGTTCATCGTTAACTAATTTCTAAGGCCAGAAGTGAGCATTTTACATTAGTTATGACCTTGAAAATGTGCTCATAATGAGTTTCTGAGTTTATAAGTCAGGAAATATTCAAAAGTTTTCCTGTAGCGTTTTTTTACTGCCTCTAGTGACCCTAGTCAGTTTATATATAAAAAAAAAAAAACGTATTTTCAAATCAATGAAGAATGCTGCTTGAACAGTTTTTGTTTGTTATTGTATTTTTTTTTATTAGGAGCTATAACAACTGTAATTAAGACAGACTCTACTGAGGATTGGTTTGAGTAATGTTTTTTTTTTCTTTTTAGTAGAACTTGCAAAAGTAAAAAAAAAAGTTTTCCATGAGCCTAAAAAGACTTTTAAAAAAAAGTGTAGTTATTATATTATAAAATCATTTTATTTTTTTATGTTGTAGTTTTAGAGCTGAATTAGAAAAAATACTAGTTATGTAACTTTTTATCTATTACAATATCGTCCAGATTTACTGGCACCTCTGATATAGATGTTTAAAAAGGCCAAATTTTGTGTATGCAGTAGTTTGTGTACAGAATTTTAAAGCATCTTTGCAAGGTAATAGTTATAAATACGCAGTGTTTCTATACAGACCCAACTGGTGTAATGAAGGTTGAATAATAAACATTAAGAAATTGTGATCCAGAGGTACCAATAAATGTAAAGAACACAGTTCATATGTTTCTATCTTATAGGTCCAGGTAGTGTGTATTTTTATGTTGTGTGAACAGGCACATGCATGTGTAAGTGTTTTTGGGCATGTTTGTGAGTAGGAATCTTCATTTTTTTTTTAGGATAATGTTGAATTTATTAGACAGTTTCCTGGCGTCTGTTATTAGTTTTTCAAAATCATCTTTACTGTCTCCAGCTCCTTCCTATGTTCTCTCCATTTCTTTCCACACAGCTCTCTTTCTCTGAAGCCATGCGGAATAAGGCCCGACTGTCCATCACGGGAAGCGTGGGGGAGAACGGCCGCGTCCTGACTCCAGACTGCCCCAAAGCCGTGCATGCTGGTCACGCCTCCCTCCGACACCCCGGCCTTGCAGTGGTCTCCTCTGGACTGCCCTGAAAACCAAAAACACCTGCTGTGCCTTAACCACACACAAACACGAAGACTTTGAAATCAAGAAAAACACACACAAACAAACAAATGCTTGCAGCATATATCATATACATACACATCATTATAGCAACAGAAAACCGAATAAAAAGACAGAAACAGACATTTTTAAACACTTGAATACAGAAGAACGAACTCTGCGAAATCATTTCACCTTCCTGCTGCCACTGGCTCATTTTACAAAAGACAAATGAACTAAAACTGTGGAGTGAAAGATGAAGAAATAGAACAACGGACAACCAAGACTTCACACTTACCTACAGAAATGAGTTTTTTCTTATTTTCATTCTTTTGTTTGGAAAGGACAATATTGTGATAATATCAAGCTAATGTGAAACCTAGCACAGATTTGTACAATTGAAATAACTGATCAAAGTAACCCAAACCATAATGATGTTAACAACAAAGATGAGGATCAAATCTATCAAAAAACACCTTAAATTACTCCCTTCCTTCTATATCTCTTTTGGACAATGACAGCCCATAAGCCACACCCCCTGACAAAGGCCTTAGTATTTCCTTCTAGAAGTAATTTCATGGTCATCATCATGGTCATTATTTTTACTTGCCTACAAAGACTGCGTGCCAGATATTATAACTATTAGGAGACCAGAAAACTGTAAGCTTGAACGGTCAGACTGTGCAAACCCGCTCCTTTGCGACAGACTCTTCATACTAAATGAACAAAAAGCCTTTTTTAACATGCATACAGAATGATTTCTTACTCTAAGTCACCTTGGTAACCGACCATTACAGTACTGAAATAACCTCGAAATGTATGACTGACCTTTACTACAGAATACAAAGGATTTTTAAAAGAAAAATATATTGATTAGTAAAGTATTTTCATCAGCAGTAGCATTATATATGTAGAACCATATAACAGTAAGGTGATCATTACTTTTTGTTAAGCAGCAATGGTACAGTTTGAGCTCAAGAGATTTTAAACAAACAATCTGTGGACGGATCTCAAATGGCTCAAAGAGCTTTTCAACCTAACCACTGGGACATCAGAGACCTTTATTAAACAAATGGGAAAAAAAAGCTATGTTGAGAGTTCATGCAAGAAATAACAATGTAGAGGTCAGATTCTAGTCAACTGTTGATCTACAGTGCCTGCAAAAATCTATTTATTCTTTTTTAGCTTTTCCAATTTTTGTCTTGGTATTGTCAATTACCCATTTGATTCAATAGAACTTCATGCTATAGGTAGTAGACTAACACAAAGTAAAGCACAATGCAGCTTTATTTGACATCTTTTGTTTCCTAATTCAGATCTGAGAAACTGAAAAAATAGCCTTCCCACATTATTAGGCCATCATCACATTTGGTAGTAGATATGGTGTATTTAGGGTAATTTGCTGTGTTTCTTTCACACATGGTGTTCTACACTATTAATCGTCTTCCACTTTATCTGAACATTATTAAAAATATATTCTGTACTTCAGCTTCACAATGATGTGCTTCTTTGTGTTGGTCTGTCATAGAAAAAGGCTAATTGCTGCGTTTGTTTTACAGTTTTCTATACTTGTACTCATTGTCTTCCGCTTTATCTGGACTGGGCCTTGGGGCAGAAGGCTCATCAGAGATGCCCAGACTTCTCTCTCCCCAAATAGTTATTCTGGCTCCTTTTGGGGAAGCCTGAAGCATTACAAGGCCAGTCAAGAGACATAGTCCCTTCAGTCAGTCAGGAGGCAACTAGTGGGCATCTGTGACAGATCCCGGAGCTACCTCCGCTAACTCCTCTCGATGTGGAGGAGCATCAGCTGTACTCCACGCCCCTCTGGTTGGGCAAGCTCAACCTATTTCTAAGGGATTTTTTTTTTCCACCCTGCAGAGGAATCTTATTTTAGCCCCTAGTATGCAGAGTCTTGTTTATTTAAGGATCCCCATTTCATGACCTTATACCTGGGTAAGAACAAAGCCAGGTCGACTCAGCTCTCTTCACCACAATCAAAGCAGCATCCGCACTATCACTCTGCTGGTCTCCCCTAACTCATCAACAAGACCCTGAGTTACTTAAACACCTCTAGACTCTTGTGTTTCTTACCTGAACTACTGTATAGAGAACTACAGTTTCTCCCTATATGACAAATTTTAATGGTTTCTTGCATCTCTTTTTTTTTCCTACTACCTAATTTCCCGATTTTTGTATTGACTTTTTTTTTTTTTTACATTAGACTGTACTTGTAGGCGGCAGACTAACAGGGACATATATTTTTGAAGGTTAAAATAAACAAAAAAGAAAACGATCTAACCTTCTGCATCAGCTTTACAATGATGTGATACTTTGTGTTAGTCTATCACTTAAAGTTAAAGAAAGTGCATTTAGGCTTGAAAAATGTGTGACAAAATATGAAAGGTTAAACAAGTTTTTTTGTTTTTTTGTTTTCTTTCAAGGCACTGCACATACAGCTTAAAGAAAATGTTCCCTTGTAAGGTTGCCCACAAAAGAGTGAACACCAATTATTTCTGCCGGCTATGATCAGGTTTACCTTTACAGATCTAGTTTAATTGATTTAATTTAGAGGCTTGCCGGAAAATACACAATTTGTCTAGAGCTCTAATGGACAAGGGTTGTCAACTTCAACTCTGATTTTTCAGTGGGTGAGGCAGAGATACCAGAAAGCTTGCTTTTTAAATCAGTTGTAAATAACTGCGTAGCAAAACTGAGTTCACCTGTTTTTTTAAGCATCCTAGATAAATAATTGCAATAATGAATATAAAAATAAATAGTAATTAAGTAAAAAAAACTTTTTTTAAGAAATCTACTTATATATAATGCATATATATATATATATATATATATATATATATATATATATATATATATATATATATATATATATATATATATATATATATAATTAAAGGGAGCTTTAGAAAAAAAATCATTGATTGTCAGAGGCCATGGCATACATTCTGTTACATTCTTCTATTTGATAACTTGAGAAGATTATGATGCCATTGCCCTCGTCTCTCCTGATCCCCATTGAATGTCGATCTAGCTCTAACACGGACACACACAGGAATGTGAACATCTACACTGTCACATTTACAGGGCCAGCATAAAGTGATCAGTCAAAAATAAATAGAATCATTGTTATTCTTCTTTTGGTTTTCTATTTTTAAGCCCCCTCCCTTAAAGTCTTTCTGTTCCTGTGCAGATGTTACATTATTCATGGTTAATGTGTAACATGGATTTCCAGAGACAACGGTGGGTGTTTTGGAGGACAAGTCAGTGTGATGTATTAAGAGTGTAACATATTTGGGGCATTTCAAATCAACTTTGGTCCATTTTGTTGTCTCTTCTCACCAGGTGTGAGTCCGCTGCAGATTGATATCCAATGTTATTTCAAATTAAACAGGGTTTTTTACATCAACCAGATTTGTTTTTTCTCTTTTTTAACTTTTTGCATTCTGTTTTAGCTTACACACTGAAGCTGTTGATGTCAAGCTTTTGACATATACTGAAATGTGCATTTAAATGGATTTTCATTGCTGCAGTTTTGTTCATTTTGTAGTCAGATACCAGAATCGGAGGTGAAGAAGTTTTTACCTGAGTTCCTTTTTCATTTCTTCTAATTTCTCAACTAATTCTAAATATATTTTAATTAAGTGTTCAGCTCACAACATGAAGTGTACATAGGTGTTTTGGCTAGTTTTGCCTACATCACCTGTCAAGGTTTTAGGTGGGGATACATAAAGTCTTAAATCGAGTTGAAGATTAACACTGAAGGCATCAAAACTATGAATTAACACATTTAGGATTATATACTTAACAAAAAAGGGTGAAAGATTTGTTTTCACACTGAAAAGTTTTATATTATAGCTTCTTCAAAGTAGCCACCCTTTGCTTTGATTACTGCTTTGCACACTCTCGGCATTCTCTTGATGAGCTTCAAGAGGTGGTCACCTGAAAAGGTCTGCCAACAGTTCCCAGAGATGGTTTGCACTTGGTGGCCCTTTTGCCTTCACTCTGCGGTCCAGCTCACCCCAAACCATCTCAATTTGGTTCAGGTCTGGTGATTGTGGAGGCTAGGTCATCTGGCCTTGCACCCTATCACTCTCCTTCTTTGTCAAAAACCCTTACATCACACCTCCATGCTTCAAGGTGGGAAGCAGGTATGTAGAGTCCATCCGTTCACCTTGTCTGCATTGCACAAAGACATGATGTTTGAAACCAAAGATCTCAAATTTGGACTGATCTGAACGAAGCACAGATTTCCACTGGTCTAATGTCAATTCCTTGTGTTCTGTAGCCCAAGCTTGTCTCTTCTTCTTGTTGCCTGTCCTAAGTAGGGGTTTCCCTGCAGCTATTTTACCATGAAGGCCTGATTCACACAGTCTCCTCTTAACAGCTGTTCTATAGATGTGTCTGCTGCTAGAACTCTGTGTGGCATTGACCTGGTCTCTAATCTGAGCTGCTGTTAACCTGCGATTTCTGAGGCTGGTGACTCAGATGATCTCATCCTCCTCAGCAGACGTGCCTCTCGGTCTTCCTTTCCTGGGGCGGTCCTCATGTGAGCCAGTTTCTTTGTAGCGCTTGATGATTTTTTGCGACAGCACTTGGGGACACTATCAAAGTTTTGCAATTTCTTGGACTGACTGAACTTCATTTTTTTAAGTAATGATGGCCACTCATTTTTCTTTACTTAGCTACTTCTTTCTTGCCATAATGCAAATTCTGACTATCTATTCAGTAGGACTATCAGCTGCGTATCCACCTGACTTCTGCACAACACAACTGATGGTCCCAACCCCATTTATAATCAAGAAATCCCTCTTATTAAACCTGACAGGGGACACCTGTGAAGTGAAAACTATTTCTGGTGACTACCACACCAAATAGAACCCAAGGGGTCACAAACAGTCTGAAAACACAATAGTCCTAAATTCTTGTACAGTGACAAAGTTTGATGAAGACCCATTTTTTGGATATCTTTATTATGCTTTTAGCAGATATTTTTACCTGGGGTGGCGATATCGGTGGATGGTGATATAAATAATTACGTTAAGTTGACGTTACAATGTAACGGTTAAATAGAAGCTGAAGCAGGTGGATCAGATGTACGGTAATGAGAAACGGCAGGTAAATGGCAGGTAAATGGAATGAGCAAGCCAGCCATCAACACAAAGATCATTACAGGGGAAACTTTGAAGGGCAAATATGATAGAGTCTTATAATCTATCTTTGCTGTTTTTTATAGTAATTTTTTCATACTGAATCTGAGCTCTCTGTATTTCTTATTCTTACTGATCACATATTTCTAAGTATGTAGAGTTTCTATAAATAAATAAAGAAAAGGAAATTTGGTATTTTTAAAGAATAAGGATGATACAAATTGTACAGAACATAAGACTTTAGATAAAGTGTGTTTGAGAGTGCTTATTTCAAATTGTAATGTGGTAGATTGTATTCAGATTTATTAGCCCTTTGAAACTTACTTTATGATGAAGTGAGTTTCTATACTGTCTCATCAAAACTTCATTTGATCTTAACCTTGCAGCTGTTTCAACTCATTACACTTATCCCAACTCTTATCTCTCCGCTATATCTTCATAAGTCTCTAAGTGGAGAATAGTAGTTTTTCAGTAGCTGTTACCACATCAGTCAAGAGCTTTTATTCTGCTACATTCTTTATATAACCTTCAATAACTCTTTTAAAATACATTCCCTATGATTCTAAAAAAAAATTGTGAAGGGACACCTGCACAGTTAAGGCTGAAATGCTGTTCATTAAATCTATATAAACAATTAAGAACAGTGAATAGATGATGTACCAGATGTCAAAATAAAACATTTTTAACGAACAGCAACAGTAATGTGCCTTCATGTTAGCTTTAGACATGACATGTTAGGTCATGACTATTAATCAAATGTGTAAGTTATGAGTTCTGACTATATTAAGCATGAGAACAGAATTTAATTAATAACTGCAACAAATGTTGGGAGAAGGCTAGTTTAGAGGGTCCTGATTATCACTTTTCCACACAATTGTACAGTAGAGCATGGATAAATGATTCTGACCTTT